GGGTAGCCGAACGATCCTATAAACCACATTATTCATACTGAATTGTGGTTAAAAATAATTAGAAAAAATACAATATATTTATAATTTAAAAATACAATATATTTATAATTTAAAAATATATACAGTGTATTTTTATATTTACATTAACATAAAATTTAAATTTGTCATCTTGGCCATGTACGAAATAATTATGCATTTCGGGCAAATCGATGTATATTGTATTTTTAAATTATACTTTCTAAAGTTATAAAGCTAACAATGAGCAATTTGACAAATATAGTAAATCATGTGACAAATACACGAAAAACACCTAATTATATGTTAGTTAATATGATTTACTAACAAACAACACAAACAAATTACTTATTTTAATATATAATTATTGTAAAATTTATTTTACTATAAATAGTGAACACATTTTAGGCAATAAATCATAAATCTAGTTAAACAAAATTTAAAATTAGAATAAAAATTAGATAAATCAAACTAAAATGAGCAAGTTTATTGTATCATCGCTGCTTATAATAATGGGCGCTTTGTTTGTCGCCAATGTGTCCGCGAACTACACCGAAGAAGATATTAAAAATATGAAAATGATATTTTGCGGTAAATATGAATATAATACTTTACATTTATTAATATATTATAAATTTATGTTTAATTATTTACTAATAAAAAAGCAAATAATAGTGAATACGGTGTTAAAATAACTTTTGATATAATATAATAAATGATTATATATTTGCAGGCGTTTGCAAGGATGAGGCGGTGCGCAACGATTTGATGAATTACGGCAAATGTGCGGCAAAACTATTCCCAGAGATAACGGGGAAAGTGATGGCCATTCGTACGGCTAAAAAGGATGATATGGACGGTTGCTTTACAGATGTAATGGCATTATTCACTGAATTTATGAAAACCAACCCTGATGCCGCCAAAAAGGGCGAGGAGTGCTTTCACGCTAATGTTAAAAAAGAAGACCTCAAGAATTGTCATTAATGTCAATTTATATGTCAATCAGGATTATGACCTGAATATAGTATAGGTTCATTCTTAATTATAAATTTACAAAAATGCTTTTATCATTCATTAATTTACAAAACAAAAAAATTTTATTAATAAAATATTTTATTATGAATTAACAATTATTTCATTCATTTGAGAAATAACATAATATTGGCACTTATTACGCAAAACAATTATTATGACATTTAAATTAAGAAAATCACAACAATAAATATAAATTATAAAACCTACAGTACAGTACATAAACCTTATTATAAATAACAGTTATAAATAATATTATACAATCACACATTTTCCCTGATGCTGTACAGTATAGTACATTAAATCAAACACTTATCTAACCATCATGATCTGTTTTCAGATCAATAATGTAAGTAATCCAATTGGAATAGTATTGAACACTGGTGTAAACACCTGGCGCTGCATTAGTGGCGCATTTTTTGCCAAAACTGACGACACCTGTCAAATAATACTGTTCTCCGATTTGGTCGTATTGAATGAGTGGTCCGCCGGAGTCTCCCTTACAGGCGTCCATCGTTTCTCCCGATTCTGTCAACGATTCTAACGGTGCGATCGCACACAACCGGCTCATGTCTATCCTAATGCTCTTTTTGTATGACAGTTGACACTCAATTTGGGACACAATCATAAGCTGTGCCTCCAATAAGATGTCGCTGTGATCACCAGTGGCTGAAGTTCGGCCCCAACCGGCGATATAACCAATCTGACTGTCAGTCACCTCAGAAGTCTCAAACCGGTAATTCTCACCCGGCATTGCCATAACTATCGGCTCAATTAAGTCTTTAAAATCAACCTGATCAATTAGATTAGCAATTTGTTAAACCACTTAAAATATTGTTGTATCACAAAACTTACCTTCTTATTAAGTTGCAAAATTGCGATATCATTGGCATAGGTGCGGTTATTATAATAAGGAAAAATGAAAATTTTGTCCACTTTAAAGTCGTGACCTTTCATTGTAAGGTCGTACTGACCCAACCGGACAATTATAGACTCGGGTTTTAATTGTAACCCTTTTTGAACGAGACAGTGGGCGGCAGTCAATACGTGGTGATCGGAAACTAGTGAACCCCCACATTGTTGATAAAATTGTCCGGAATCTTCTATTAGCAGAGCAGCCTGGTAAGTAGATTTCAAGTTTTTAAATTGTGTAAGTTATTTATCTAGGTAATTATTATACCACAAATCGCCACTTATTAGACATGGTAAATAAACCATTAGCAACAAAACCATCAACTAATCCAACAATCTTTCCCCTATTGTTCACATATGGCAGCCAATTATTTTCACTCATAAAAATTGGTATTAATAACAAAATATTAATTTTATTTATAATATAAGAATACATTTTAAAAATTAATATTGTTGAACACAAAATAAGCTCAGTATTATTTAATATGGTAAATTTATAATAAAATAATTGAAACTTATTATATCAATTGACTGAAGATACACAATATTTATACTTATTATTTAAAATAAAAAAACTAAACTCTCATCATAAACAATATTCTTTAAAAATACATTCATGATAAAATTGCTTATATTTTGAGCCATGCATGAATTGGGAAACAAGTTTAAAATACACACCGAATTGTATTAATATAATAAACGTTAAACACATTCAGGTTAGTCCAGTTACAAGAATCACCGTTTAAATAAAAATTGCAACATTGGTACGACAGATTTAACATTTCATTTAATTGACAGTTTTACAATAGAATATAAATAAAACTAAAAAATTAATATAATTTTAGAATGCAATTTATAATATCAGTATTATAATTACGATAGCAGTTTTTATTTAAAACCTGGAATTTTATCAATAACTATTTATAAACCTAAAAAATATAACCCTAGGGCATTTATTTCCAATGTCATTCAATTTTACAATACTTAATTTAAACAAGTTTTTGAGATGTAAAATATTAGTAAAATTCTATTACTCTGTTTACTACTAATCTGTGAAAATTTTAATGTAATTTAACACAAAAACGTATGGATTACCAGAATATATGCAATAATGTCTATACAGCACATCATTATAACAAAGTATATAATTAAATAAATCCTTTATTATTTATGTTCATTATATTGAAAATTATATTGTAATTATAATAAAAAACTCAACATTTTGGACATTTACGTATTTCTGACATCAAACATTTATTTTAATAATATTATGGAATATTTTGCTCATTAAAAATTGTATACAAAACAGAAATAGATTTACTTAAAAAACAAAATGATAAAAATTTACATAACTTATATATTTTTAAAAAGCACAATAAAAACAATTTTAAAGTTATATTACACCGTAATAATTACAGTACAGTATTTATTAGCAAAATGAGCAATTCTTATGATACAGTGTCTTGTAATAAAGTGACGTTTTAATCAATAGTTGGGTAGAAAGGCAATCGGGTCTATACATTATATTTGTACGGCTTTTATTTGTTTGTAGCCAATCCTCGCAGTGATCGGACAACCAACAGCGGATCTATACATCGTTTAACAAGTTACATAGAATTGCCAATTATTACAATAATACAAAATACAATTTAGTATTTATAATATGACAAAATTACCAAATTAATTATTTATAATCCGTATCGCAAGCATTAACAAATATTAATATAGTTAATTTTCCTAACTTTTGTATTAAAAGTTATAAAACACTAAATAAAGTAAATCTCAAATATAAATATACTATGTTCAAAATACTTTGCCTGTGGTGCATTTTATTTTATTTTAACGCAAAATGAACATAATTTTTTCCGGAAATATTTGAGGGAATTAAATCATAATTTTATAACTAACAAAAAAAAAGCATCATCATATCTACTGTTATTAAGAATTATATTACAATTCAAAAACCTAATTGTTGACAAATAAGTTATTTCAAATAACTTATTTGTTGTATCACTTATTTATTGGACTTGTGCATCTTGTTTAATAAACAAAAATGCAAAAACTAATAGTTTATTATTTGACAATTTAATTTGCAATTTAGTAAAATGAAAATCATTACTTCGGTCAATGAGTACTGAGGGGCCCAAACTTCTCATCAATAATAAATATAAACCATGTTGTTTCATATATCACAAAGTGAAACAATTATTATTTTTGTAAATTGCGCCAGCAAAACAAAACTCATAGAATGCAAGTAAAAATTATATATACTAGCTACGTATTTTATGTACAACACTAACTATTATCCATAGAGTATGCACATATACCGAATCGTTTCCATAGCGACTGAGAAATAGTTATGCAAATTGTGAGGCATTGGGAGCACAAAACTGGATGGGATAGGAGGGGACGGGACTGTTAGGGACGGTTAGGCTATGTTTATATTGATATGTTTGAGTGAAATATACTCTGCCTTTCATTACACAAACGCATAGTATTTAAGGCACAAAAAATTCCCAAAACTATTCCCTAAATAATTAGTGACAGGTTTTTTCGGGCGAAAAAAGTCATTCATTTTCGTCGAAAAACTTATTTTAAATATTTATCTTAAATTTGTTTGAAATTACGTTTAAAACAAATAAGTAATGAATATTTCAAACTATATTCAATGCATGTGTGGGTAAAGGAGTAATGCATTTATCGCTATAATAATCGGTAGTTTGAATGATAAGTTTGAGTGCTTTGCCATTTGTATTGATGGCTCAAACACGATGAGTGCCCGTACGAGTTCACCCGACGCCCCCATCGCCCCCATCGCCACCACCTCTGCCCCCAATAATGGCTTATTAAGACTCAACTCATTGACTGCTAACACAAACACCACTAATAATAACAACAATGAAAACAATAATGAATTTGTAAGGGATGTCCAAAAGGCCGGTATGAATGCGCTTAATATGCGCTCATTATATCATTAATTATTAATATTTGCCAATTTAATTAGTTTGTTACGATAATTGCTATCATTATGACCAATATTGCTAATTGTCCATTTGGTTTAACGTGCTCAATTAGCAGTTATGTTCATTTGTCAGTTCATGTTTTGCATTAATTATTAATGTTATGATAAGTTTATTTAATAAACTTTATTATAATTTGCAATAAAATCGTTCATATTTTTGAACGTATAGGGGGTTAAGGAGGGGTAAGAGTCTTGTAGTTTGCATTTTGATAAACAAATTCATCACGATCAATAGCTAATCTATCATAATTTATAACACAATGAAATAAATATTATTTTAATGAACGAGTTAAAATAATTAAATAATTGCTAGATAAGTTATTATAAATGCCCGGACCAATACAACTCTTGCAACCCCTGTATATCTGCAATTCGTGCACAAATGTAATAATCGTATGAATCTGTAATTCAAATCACAAATTGTAGTTTTCATTGCAAAACATATTTGCAACGAAAAAAGTTTTATACAATAATCAAACAATAATTTAGTTTATAACACATAAACAACTGTTAAATCATTAAAATTTAATTTGTGTTTTGCAAACAAAGGTTGGCTCCGATACCTGCCATTCGCCGAAAGGCCGTCCACTTCGGCGGGCGTTGAAGAGCACCGGTTTTGGGTGGTGTTTGCCGTACACAACGAGTGCCGGCCATACCTCGAGTTTTACCAGAAACGACAGATCACTGGCACTCATATCAACGCACATCCAAACGAGACACAGTGTCCGCCGGTGTCCACACATTCGCTGCATCGCTGCCAACACATCGCACCCGCCATTACGTGCGGCGACAAACCCTTCAACGAGTTCGCCGTTACGCTCGACACATATATCATACGACTTGTGGCGGACAGTCAACACGCGATGTGTGATTGGATCGACAGTTTACGGGCCAAACTCAGGCTACTCAATGTCCTGCCGGCGCCCGACAACCTCTATATGAGGGAACCGCAACCCCTTCCCCGACAAAACTCGATTCGCAGCAATCATTTTAGGCCTTTGCCACCCATACCGAGCCAACAGTTAAGCACAAACTCTACTTTGACACCTGTGGCACCTGTGGGGCCCGGTACGAGTGCGAGTCACAATACTGTAGCCAATAATTACCTGCACACAGCTCTTCCCTTAACACCGGGACCATTGGCGCCGATCTCTACGCCCTCGTCAAGTGTGGCCACTCCACCGCCGCTCACCGCACAGGCCAGGGCTGCCTCACCCACAGAGATATATGAGGCTATCTTTGACGAGCGACAACCGGCATCACTGCCGCCACCCTTACCACCGGTGCCACCACTGCCTCACCGGACTTTGCGCACCACCTCTATAAACGACGGCTCCTCCCCGTCCACACCCTTAACCATTGCTTCATTAGAACCCCTCAATAGTCACGTGCCATCAGAAGAGGGTCCGCCGCCTTACGAGTCCATAGCGGCCGTGTCTTCGACTCCCATATCGTTGCGAGAGTCGCAGGTTCTTCGGCTCCGCAAAGAGATAGCTCATCCTTCGGGTGTCAGACTTACCGTATGTATTATTTTATAATATATTTTTGATTTGTCAACTATTTTATGGTTTAATTATAGATTTAATTTATTTTATTATCATTTCAAGTGAAGTGATATTCTATGGCTTTTACATAAAATAAATTTTGGATTATTTTTATCACAATTAGTGTTAAGGGAATAATGATGAATGTGTTTCTATTTCCAGTATCATAAAATCATTAATACTGTACTTATTTTTATACTTTTATAATTTTATTTTAAATCCATTAACATACGAATCCCTTTCACTCTTTCTCTTTCAATCTCTCACTAAAATTAGCCATAAATACTAGAATAACAAAATATTTCGTAAATAAATTCATATGAATTTAGTGAGTGAAACTTTATTTACGCTAATCTCATTCAATGCCTAAAATAAACTGTTTATTTATATTGCATTTACTTTTTCAATAAACACAAAACATGTTGTTTAATGATTATATAATTCATTTGACATACAGGTGCGCAAAAAGGACTGTTACCACTCCATAGCACTCGTAGATCTCTCGGACGCCGTATGGATAGCTGGATGGCGTCAGAAGGAGTTTCCCGTTTTGCACAACACGTTTCATATCGGGGATCAACTGCTCAGCATAAATGGGGATCCGGTTTGCTCTGCCAGTCAGGCCTACAAACTGATTAAACAAAACGCACTCTTACTTGAGATTATCGTACGCCGAGTGCCAAACGCGCGGGTATTTTGCATTAAACGACGTCAAGAGGGCCAGGAGTTGGGTATTGTGCGCGACGGCGGACGGGCAGAGATTGTGGCTGTCATACGGAGTGGACTGGCAGACAAGGCCGGACTGAACGCCCGGGCCGTGTACGGCGACCAAGAGTGCAACTGGTCATTGACCGAGATTAACAACCGGCCGCTCAACATGTTCTTCAAAGGCCAGGAGATTGAGGACAGACTTTCGGCGGTCGGCAAAGAAATATCAATTTTAGTGCAACCCTTTGTTTTTGTCAAATACATTACCAAACAATTGAAACAACTGAGAAATTTTAAGGATTATATCGTTCAATGATTTCATTTAGTTTTACATCAGAACATCAGTATTGCATTTATGCACACATAGTATTACGTTAATTACAATTGATTACTATTAATTATTGATTAAATTCATATTTATTGGTTATTTTATAACATGATTAATAGGCCAGATTATGATAGGGTTTAAATAAATCCTGATGATGATTTATTGAAGTGTTTTATAATGAAGGAATGTTTTACATTTTAAAGTCATTTATTTTGTTTATTGGTTGATATGAAAAGTTGTTTACATTTTGCCATTTAATGAATATTAATAATTTAATATCTATGCGTGATCACAATTTAACTATATTTAAATCTGTGTAAATCTTGTTATAATGAATACATGACTTATAAAACACACACAACATGTTTCATTAATTCAAATACTCTTTTACATTATTGTTTTATTATTTATATATTTCAGACAACGAGTAATTGTTTTAATTTTATTATAATTTAAAACTTATTTTAATCTTAATATAAATTTTAAACTTGAGAAACAATTACAAAAAATTATTTAAGAAAATTATTGCGAATTATTTTATTACCGGTTAATATTAATTATATAATATATTATAATTTGTGCTTTAAACTTTCAAAATTACATTTAAAATTCCAAGTAATAGTGACTAAAATTCTTTTTATATATTTATAATTTGTATTTTGTGTAATTACCTTGCTTTTAAATTTATACTAAATTTATTATATTTTAATTTTAAATCAGAAAAATAAACTATATTTGGATAATTTGTATTATAATAATTATGAATAGTGTGGATGTTTCAATTTTTTAGCCTGTTATATTAGTAGTAATAGTTTTACTGGTAAATTACAATAATTAAATGTTTAAATTATTAGACACATTACTCTGATATTTATGTTAGAAACTAAAATATTTACCCGAATAATTAATAATAATTTATTAATATTTAATTATAATTAGCTTTCAAATGAATTCAAAGCAAAAACCAAAGTGTTTTATAAGTGATATAATATTTGAGTGTCAATTCCAGTGATGACTATCTATTTATTAAAGACAATGTTTGGGCACATCTTAACGACATATCATTAGTTTTGGTTAGACATCAGTTGCAGACATCAATTCCACACAACCGTCGCATCCTTTATAAGTTATTAAATACAGACTTCAAATAATACCTTATCTTTATTATACAGCACTCTATATCTTATAAATACATGTATTGTAAGTCTATATTGGTACAGTGTGTAGTCTACCATAATTCTCTACACTAACTGACCAAAACGTCAATTCAACCAACGTCTGTGTTATGTTAGGGTTTAACGTAAACAATACAAATAATGATAACAACAAAAAACTATGAATATAATCCCCAAACATATGCTTGTATTGCAATTCATACGGGTTTTTGCCCAAAATCAGGAAATCATCATTTTTTCATATATTACGAAAATGCTTACAAAGAATCCATTTTGTGTGATAAGAATATTCTGGAGTTCAGAATAATCGAAACATGTGTCTCATTTAGGAAATCGTAAATATAGTTGCAATTAATATAATATAATAACCTATTATGAGAATTGAGTTTATAATAAAGACTGCAGTTTTATTGAGCATTATATACAGTAAATGGTTTAAACATTTTGTGAGAGAATTTTATTTTACAAATAAAATCGATTTTTGTGTCATATTTTGATTTTAAACGGAAGATATGTTTCATGAAATAACTTCTTTCACAAAATACTATACATCCGTTTCGTATCAAATATAACATATTAGCAAAAGGCGGTACCGATTCTATAACCAAATACATGTACATTGTCATACAATGTACAACATTCAATGTTATAAATATCAAATATTGTAAAATCCTATAATAATTGTGATACTAAAGATTTAACATTGAAATTAGATGTTAACATTAAAATCAATAATAATTATGTAAATTAATAAACACTATTCATTACATTTTTGTCGGCAACATATAATTTAATAACGCTTATTTTTATACAATACTATAATTACTATTGTATACAAAAATATTCTTTCACAAAAAATTATTTAAAGCAATTGATCTTATAGTATAAAATAATACTTCGTAAAAATATGTAAAATAAAAAAATATATTTTACAAAAAATAATACATAGTCCAAAATATTTTATATAAATTATATTGTGATTACTCTCTGTTTTGACGTTTGCACTCAAACGTGAAGAGAGTTACACTTTGCTTGAGGTATACTATTTATTTTATCGTATTTTTTGTTTGCCTGGGTGTGAAATGTGACTTTTCTAACAATATTTTGTAGAAACAAATTTTTTTTGCAAAATGTTTGCCGTGAAGTTTATGTAAAAATAAATACAATTTATCATCTTATTTTATAAAATGGATCTTTGTTGAAAACATATATATTTTACTTTACAGTTAAATATCATTTTGAAAACTACTTTTCAAATATGATAAAACTGTTTTACCTAAAAATTTAAGTTTTAAGCTATTTTATATATAAATTTATATTTAATATTTTTCTAAAATATCAATAAATGTCATATGAATTGTATATTATTGTAAATCATTATGAACCTTATTCAACAAGATTCTCTAAAATGACAATTTATTAATAACACATAACACTATGTGTCCAACAATATACTCCGGATTATATTTAATAGATAAGAGGTCTGTTTGGCAACCATATGAATAAATGTCAAAAATAAAGCATATTTAAATCATATTAAATAATATATTTTAACTCAGGTAATCATTCTAATATTAAATTGATTTAATTGTTAATTTAATTTAATTGTCTTTTATTAGTGACATTTATCCATGGTGTTGCCAAACAGACTTCCTATTTACTAAACATAATCTAAGGTATATTGTTGGACACAAGTACATTAATCGATATAATTTTAATAATGAATTATTTGAATAATAAACCATCATTCATTTTTATTAAAACATAATTTATCATAATTTCAATTATTATAAATTTTATAAAATGGATTATAAATGTTTTCATGTTTAAATTTATAATCATGATTAAACAAAAAACAATAAAATTTGCTGTAAATAATTAGATATAAACTCACATGATTACACAGTTAAATAAACTTCGTTTAGAATAATGCAAATATTTTTAATTCAAATATTCCCAAATTATTTCCAATTGAGTTATTATTGTGTCAATAATAAATGTAAACATTATATAAATATTGTTTACAGTAAATTATTTATATAAACTATTTATATAAACAATATTAAAGTAATTACTTAATAATATTTTATACAAAATTTACCCAAAACACGGGTAAATAACATTAATTAATATTGTTTAAATAAGTTACTAAAGTATAGTAACACATATTACTATTAGTGTAAACGCTACAATTCTTTAGCAAACACAACAAGATACAGTGCAACTTCTCCATAATGAACGGCCAGTTGCACGACAAAAGTGTTCATTATAGGGAGGGTTCATCCAAGGGAGGTTTGAG